TTTCGGAGGATAGTGAGCGGACTCTTTCGCAAGATGAGTCCAGATTTGAATCCAGTTTTCATAGTTCCCTTCCCTTTTCAAAGTTCACAATTCGCAGTGACGACTCTATCACATCAGTTGTGACATGTCAATAATTATAACCCCAGTAAGTGAAACATCTTGCATTTTAACGTCTGTTCATCGAGACACCTTGTCCCTTCTCCTGCCGAGCCAACCACATGAAAAATCTCATTATTATTTTTCGCAATATTTTCTCTGCTTGCTCGCGCGCTGCAGTGCGTTCCTGTTATGACCATATTTGCAAGATAACAATCTAATGGGAGTTCTCACGAATTGCAAACTTTATTTCAAACGAGGCTGCGTCTATCGCATGGGATGACTCAGTACAGCTTCGCACCTGCGCATGGAAGAATAATTATAATACGCTCCATCATTTTTGCGCCTCACAATGGCAGATTGAATGACAGAATAAACAATCAGTTTTTACTTCTATTTCACCTCAAAATCACACAGAACTGTTACTTCTATCAATTTAATCAAACCCCCTATTTTTAAAAACTTTGATCCCCATGCGCAATTATTCCATGAAATGTGTTCGTTTCGGCACTTACTTTGAAAGATTGCGCCGTTGCTATGACTGAATTACGAAAATTATCAGTAATTGCGATAAATGCCGTTCTCGACACAAACATTGCCCTATACATATTGGTTCGTACGCGTCTTGTTTGGTATTTGGTTTGATAAAGTTTGGATATTCATCTGCATAGATGATACGGTTAGTGAGTTGAATGATTGAGTATCTACATAGTCATAGAGTATTGCATCTGCGTGGTGTTTTAACCGCAGAAACATGTACGAGATGTAGGGTCAAAAACAATACGTGAAAAGCAATTTATTTCTTTGCTTCCTATCTTTCATGTGTTTTACTGATGAAATTGCATATTTCCCATGCATGGACGTGTCGGTAAAAACCAGAAGCATTCTCTTCGTTGTCTTATCCGACATGGATGCACTTGAGCACTTAACATCTTGTAGTCATTACTTTCATCTACTTTTCCTGAGGAGAAATTTTACCCCAGTGACAAAAATGATGAAACGTCAGTATAAAAACATTCATTTCACGCCAAAATCTTCAGTTTTTCGATGTGGTAGAGCACATTATTATTGTTTTGTGCAAAATTGCCGCCATTCCCGCTGCGAGCACAGTGTGTCTTTCAACATACCCCCTCGAAGCTCAGGATGACTCGTGCTGGGTCACTCAATATGGCGCAGGCGACATGTCAGTTGATCGCGTATATCTTTGAAATATCCCTAGTGAGTGAAAAAAACACATAAATGATGGCACAGAACAAGCAGAGATGACAAGCAGGGAATTATTCCTAACTGCAATCCTAACGTACGTTAATCCTTACCCTGTAACCCGTCATACTAATTCATATTATAACGCTAATCTTAATATATCGCTAATCTTAATCCTTTAGAGTAATTATTCCAGTCAATTCTAAATCTTAATCCCCCTCAGAAAACAGCTGCGGATGAGAGGTTAGTAGCGTGAACGAAGGCTAGAAACGTCGGCGTTTTGCTCATGTTTTTCAAGTAGTTGTATTGATTGTATTTCAAGTAGTTGTATTCCGCAGCTAGCTGTCTTGTTATCGTCGGCACGGACCGTTTAGTCCCCCTCACCCTCACCTTACCCAAATCCAAATCCTAGTTCTAACCCCTAAGTGACGTCATTTCCTCATTGCAAAGCTCGTTGCATGAAAGTCACGTGAGAATAGTGTGTTTGGTGTTCATCATTAGATGCAAATGACGGTAGATCGAAGTCCATTATCTTCACACAAGATGAAGTATTCAATGACGTTTTCCAAGATGGCCGACCAGACAGAGGAAAAAGGAAGAAGCGTTTCTTTTACGTTTTCAAAGAAAAAGGTGACTCCAAAACTTGTACAAACCAACAAGGAATATAGAAATGATGAAAATAAAACAGAAACTGATAAAGATTTTATACATTCTGCTGAGGGGAAAGTTTTAAAGAGGTATTTTTACTGTTTTAGACTTTTAGTGTTTTATGTGAACTATAAATGATTGAAACGTATGAATTTAAAACTTGTATTATCATCACAGTTTCTTTAATATGTGAACTATTTCCCTCAGTTTCAATCAGCAATTTATGTCTTAATTAAATGTATTTTATAGTACTAAGCTAAAGGAAAATGTGAAAGAATTAGTTATTCCATGTCGGAATAGAAGTGATGTGTTGTTGGCCAAAATACAGAATGCTGCAGGAAATACATTGGACAAACAAGCTGCAGAGGAAATTATTAAAGGTATAGGAATGGTTTTAGGATGATGGTTAGGGTTTATTAAGGAAGATGTGGGGATAAAGATTATAGTTTATAGGGTTTATAGGGATAAGATTGGGATTATTAGGATAAGATTGGGATTATTAGGATAAGATTATGTCACACAATTTTTAATCCATCAAAACATTAGATATATGCAATGCAATGTGGGATACATGTGGGTCAAATATTCATTGTCTGACAGTGATGTAATGTAAGGACTTCTTAGGTCAATTGTATTAGATTACTCTACATATTCTCCTTAGACTTGACAAGTGCTGAAAAGGTTGAAAACAAGACAGAAAGCAACTTTGCGATTCCATTGTTGGCAAGAACACATTTGGTTACAACAGGGGAAACAACAAGTAACCCAGAGAGTTCAGCCATTCTTGAGGATGAGGTTTGTTTCTATGTTAGATCTACACATTCAGTGAGCCAATCATCATTGATATACTAAGATAAAAACCTTCGTATTTGCCTGATTATTTTAGAGTAACTTAGAAGATTACGATGCTGTACCTGTGGCAGAGTTTGGAGCTGCAATGCTCAGGGGAATGGGGTGGAAAAAAGGCGAGGCAATTGGAGGAACAAATAAAGGATTAGCAGTACCGATAGAATTCATTCCACGTGCACAAGGACTGGGACTAGGTGCTGAACGACGGCATGAAGAGGGTGGAAAGAAACGCAGGAGGAAGCCTGGTGATGAAAAATCATCTCAGGTAATCCAGGGTTCCCATTAGCAACCTGCACCCAGTGATTTTTCAAATCCAAAGCGTAGACAATCACCGGTCATTTCTCCAGATTATAACCCAAAATATTTCCTTACCAAAATGTTGAGGGAAAGGTTTCTTGCTTTTCTAACATAAATTTTACGCAATATGCTTCGGTAAATTCTAAAGTGTGTTATTTATTTTCAAGAATTCAGGACCTATCTTTGAAAAGAATGGTAAAGTTCGACATTTCAAAGGTTTGGATGAAAAAATACCTGATCGGCCAAGTCAAGGTATATTGTTGAATTAATCGTTTGTCTTTCTTGAAAGTAAGATGTTGAGCCGAATATATTTTCCTCATTCTACAGCTACAACGTTTTCCAAAGGTGGGTACGTTGTCATAGAGTCTGGAACACACAAAGATCTCAGTGGCAAGGTGGGTATATGAAGGAAAAAACAATTAGATAATGGGCATTTAGCAGCATGTTTTATTCTACAGTATGTTTCATTCTTATTAGATAACTGCTGTTGATGAAGATAACGCCAGAGTCATTGTTCATCTTGCCATGAACGGAGAGGTATATTTCTTCAATGATAATGACGCTAGTTCTTGTCGAGTAAAGCCCATTTTCCACTGGGCGAATTTGTTCACGCAAAGCGAAAAACGAATCTTGGGAATGTGATTGATCAGCGAAAAAATTCGCCGCGAAAAAGTTGGATCAGCTCTTACTTTTTTACTGTTCGCACAAACAAATTCGCCTAGTGGAAAATGGACTAAAGGTCCACAACGCGACGCGATTTTTCAGTTTTTGAAAGTTAATAAAACAGCCGATGAGAGCAAATTTTGAAAGATATATACACCAAATAACTCAAAATGTGATAGCGCTTCTAAATATTTGGAAAATTTAAACTACACTCAAAGTTATCGGTCAGTGAAAATGGAAACATCGCGTCGCGTTGTCAAATCGCATCCGGTGTGTCTGGACCTTAAGACATTCACAAATCCTGCTCGACTACTTTTATAGGAACTGACTGTCAGTCAACATAATGTCAGACTGGTGGACAGAGATGAATATAAACAGTTCGCCAAAGGTAGTTATTCGATACCATGGATAATTTTAAAAATGTACACGATTAACCTTCAGTATATTGCACTGGATTATCGCATAACAGGTCATTTATAATTTTCAGGTAATCCTTCACAAAACAATGAAGACAAGTACAGAAAAACGAAAAGACAACGAGAAAACGATGAAAGGCAAATTCTCTTACCCTATTTCGTTGTTAAACATTTATTAAACATTCGTAAACCTACGTCTTTGTTAATGCAATACTAAACTATTTTTTATGATGTTGAAAATATAAAGAGAACGGACTTTCTTGAATGTGATAATTTAACAATGTAATGACACTCAAATTTCATGGGAATGTTTCTTGTTTTAAATAGAGAAAATAGTCGGGACTACAGTCCGAAGAAACACAAGTCAAAACACAAAAAGCAGAGCAAGGATGAATCGGGGAGAATATCCAAAGATACTTATGAACGAGAGTGTCGAATGGATGATGAGCCATGTTGGATGGCGCCTCTTATCCGAGTTCGAATAATTAGTAAAAGTTTTAAAAATGGAAAATATTATCATAAGAAGGTAGGTGTAGTTATACAGACAGTGTAGATCAGATATAACCCAACATCAACCATCGTTATTATGCGGTACATCCTTGTGGAGCAACGTAACTAAACCGCAACTTTACTGCAAGCGAACCACAACTAAACATCTGCCCAACCCCCTGCGAACCGCGACCTTGCAGCGGACTTACTGCTATTTTGCTCATTTGAATTTTTAGGCAGTTATTCAAGATGTTGTTAGTCGAACAACTTGTGTATGCAGGACAGATGAAGGGCGATTACTTGAAGGTAAAAAATACGAAATCTGTCCAAAACAAAAATTTGAAAAAGCATCTTAGATTTGAATAATCGTCATGGTCTGTAATTAACACAATTAATTTTCATGAAAATTATATCTCATGATTATATCTAGATGTTCCTCAAAGCGTGTTGGAAACGGTGATTCCGAAAGTTGATCCAAGATTAATTCTATTTGTCCAAGGAGAGCACAAAGGATTGGTAAGAATAGGTTAACCAGTTTGAGGACGAGTGTCTTTGGTTGTCCCTCTCGTGCCCGTCAATAGGGAGTTTAAGATGCCGACAACGAACAATGGGTACGGAGTACGGTTGAAAGCTTGTTTTCGCAGACAAAATTTACATATCCCCAGAACATACTTTTCACTGTAGTGAGCTTGGCTACAGCGTAAAAATCACATTCTTGTGTTGTAACACAGAATGTCAGAATCAAGAACATAGCACCGAAACTGACTACGCAACATTGCAGGTTGGAGAGTATTTTTATAAAGAAATGATGAAAATTAAAAGATGAAACTTACCGAACACAAAGTCATGCACATAAAACATATTTGGGATAAATTTGTTATGACAAGCATTTCAGTATTTGCATACATATAACAAAAACTATTTCAAACGTAGTCAGTTTCGTCGTCAAGATCTTAAACTCCCTAACACCACGCCTGTTAATCACAGCCTGCTACACAGATTGTTGGTTGGATAAACATATCAATTCCAAATTGCGTTTCATCATTTTCATCTATTAAAGTTTTTAATGATGATAGAAATATTTCTATGGGTTTGTTCCAGTTTACGTATGACGTAGTGTCAATTATATGAAAGCTTGGGATCGATAGAGGTAGTTGTATCCCTATCAATCCAAAACTTTCTTATTTAATGATATACTCTAATCTAGGTTGGTGAGATTGTGCAGACAGAATCGTCCAAACAACAAGCAGTAATTCAAATCCTGAGAGACAAAAACGTCGTTAAATCGCATTATGATGATATTTGTGAGTATACTGAAGATGTCCATCGAGAATGATGTCCAATATGTACAAGCAAGTGAATGAGAGATATTTATTCATTTCAAGAGAAGGCAATTTCGGTCTGAGAGGATACTAAAATTTTGGGGGCAATGAATTGCCTTCGGTGAAGGTTAATTATTTCTATAGTTCTGTAAATAAAATGAAATGTACCATAGCAATTTTTTTACTGTAATAAACATCACGATTAAACTTCCACTGACACCCGTAGACGGACAATGACTTTTTCTGCGCCTGTTCATCGGTAGGTGCAAACAACGGTTTCTGTAGTATATGCATATTATATGAAGTATTGTTTGAAGATGGATTGCGCAATCGTAACACTGATCAAAGGTCACGGAGTGCTCAAACACATGTTTTAATAATATTGGAGATTTGGAATCTGAAATTTGCACTTTTTTTTGTATTTTGCACTTGATATGTCTTACTGCCGTGAAGAAGGTAATGTCATTATATATTTTTAGTGCTTTGCTTGTGAATTTTTTTATTTTTACTGAGGAAATCCTGCCCATTTGTAAATATAAGCTCAAAAACTCTCATTGAGTACTTGAGGTTGCATCATGACATGACTGATATCTATTGACACCAAATACAATACTATATAGAATGAAAAGAATATTTTCTTGCTCTGATAACTTCAGGTTAATCACCTGGGGGCAATATGCTACATTACCCACATGATTTTCCAATTTATAATTAAACATATATATCTTCTTAGGAAAAGAGTAACTATATGATCATATTTTTATAATTTTTTGACATGTTTTCTCAGGCAAAGACAAAATAATATTTGTGACCGAGTCAGACCATGCAGAACCAAGCAAAGTTGAACTACCTGAAGTTGAGGACGAGGCAGAATACGAAGGCTTGATTAAACCAAACGGAGAAATAAACTGGGAATGTCCATGTTTGGGTGGTATGGCAACAGGAGTTTGTGGAGAACAATTTAAGGAAGCATTCTCTTGTTTTCATACCAGTACCAGTGAACCAAAAGGATCGGACTGTATTGAACAATTTCGAACAATGCAAGAGTGTTTCAGACAATATCCTGATGTCTACGGTGACTTTGAGAGTGTGGATTCGGCTGAGGATGACCAGGAACTCTTTGATTTTGTTGATGAACAGAAAGAAATTGGTGAACGAGAAAATACGCCAGAAAGCGGTACAGGGAAAGAGGAAAATAATACCTCCAGTGAACAACAAGATAGTGTTTCAGAGAAGAATGAAAAGACAGCTAAGAAAGAAGATTTATGATGATGCTATATCTAAGATGGTGTGAGCTCAAAGCATGCTCAATATGTGTCACTGTAGCCAATGTTTTCCACTCAAAACAAAGCTAATATTGTCTACTTAGAAGTTGCATTTGGTTTGTTTTCAGGGAAAGCTGAACAAATTTGTTGTAATTATTAGCATTTTTTGAATGTTTTAATTTATGGCATTGATTGAAAATAAATTACCTCTTATGGGAATTGATGTATAATATTATTCCATTACTAATAAAACTAATGGTATAGCTATTAATATTGCTTCAGTGTTACTACAGGAGAAAACTTGTGCTATTTGGTAGAGTCAAAAACTGTGGGTTTAATTTTAATCCAGGATTAATGGATTAATGTTTTAAAATCCTATTGAAGTTTGTACTGTATTTACATGAAGTATCCCGTAAAGTACCTGAAATGCAGGCTCATATTTAAAATTATTGCGTAACAATTTCTGCCAAAATATAAACATGAGAGCAAGTGAGCGATTATTCCTTGGTTTAAAAACATTTGCACAAGGGTTTTTCATTGGAGTTCCTATATATTTGACGGTTACAGATAATTTCTGTGCTGTATGTAAAGTTGAAGGCGTTTCTATGCAAGTATGAAACTGTTTTTATTTGAATATTGTTGTCTAGTTTGTGCCCACGTGTTTCAATGGTTTAAATGGCTCGCTTGTTATTTTGTCAACCAACTGAAAACTAACTAATAGATAGTGCTATTGTGTACGGTATTTGTGTCTAAAACTAGGAAGGCAGTTCAAAATCGTTAGCCAGTGGAGAAGTTTAGATATAGGGCATTTATTGATTATTCAACTTAGTTGACAATCAGTGGGCAGTCCAGGTTGTAAATGTATTGAGATCAAGTGGTTGGCATAATGAATGTTTCACCTCTATGGCAGATGGTTTTATTTTTGTAACACAGGGATGGATTTACTTGGGGGGGGGGGGGGGTTGCCCCCCCTT